GTATTTTTAATTTCCTACTTTATACCCTAAGCAGGTAAGATTCACCCCTTCTGCACCACAATTTACTGACCAGAGGAAAATATTTTCTGAAGACAAGGATACTGGTATTTTTCTTGATGGTTTGATGATGTTTGCTGATGCAGGTATTTTAAAAATACAACCTAAGAGCGAAATTACCCTCAAGATACAAATATATAGGTGCACAAAGTTAACTGTAAACTTCTGAGTAGAATATTAAACTAAAAACTATAAAATATTCAGTTTGTCCCATGTACCCTACTATTAAAAATATTTCCCCAATATGCTTTATCAATGGGGTTACTTGTCAGAGATGGGAAAGAGAAGGGCGTAACCTCCTGTTTTCATTTTAAAGAGATGTTGTGCAAGGAACTGAAGCTAGGATTACTTAGTTAAGAAGAAATAAAGCACAATTACTTCCTGGAAGATACATACGAATATTAAAAGAATTCTCAAATGCCCATCAGCTCCAAACATTTTTCTTGTCTGAGGGTAAAAATTATTTCAGACTGCATCACAGCACTATTGATTTCAAAATACCAATCTTCACTTATATAACATGCTTAAGGAATTGGAAAAATTAAATAAAAATGTATTCCTCTCCCTGTACTTATCTGAGCAGCTGACAGTGGTGTAGCAGTTAGTTTTCTTTCGTGACACTGGTGATGGCGGGGAGACTCATGCAGCTTGGGGCTGAAAAGCATTCGCTTTAAATCAGGAAAATGTGATTTTATGAAAATGTGATTTTGTAGCTATACCAACTGGCAAGGGGCCTTTGCAGGTGCAGAGCTGAAAGCGGACAAGGATGTATTCTCTAAAGCTAACTGGATTTCAAGTTGAGGGAATCCTGTTAATAATATTAACTTCTGTGGTGATAAATAATAAAAACATACAGAAAACTTGTCATATTTTCCTACCAGTCATGACTCAAGGCTGTCTCGCTTGTGTTTCAGTTCATAATGAGATGTTCCCTTCCAGATCTAATCTGACTGGTTTAAAACGTTAGTGTTGCTATTTACCATTTACTGTCCCTGTCAAAATATCCTACCCCTGCTGCTACACCGGGGGAGCACATGGGCCTCCTCATCACCTTCAGCTCGAATATAGCTGGATTAGGAGAAAATCCCAAGAAACGATGTGTTAGAGAAAGCGAGGGTGACTGAAGCACATGGGGAAGGCTCAGATCATCCGCCCTGCTTTTGGGGTGGGAAGCATGAATGCCAACAGAGATGCTGCAACATCCTCAACTGCTGCACCGGGGTTTGCAGTGGGTGACAGAAGCTGGGCAGTGCCTTGGTTGGCATTGAACCTTGCATCTGCCCCAGAAGCACTCGGTACCCTGCCAAGCCATTTCCTAACTCAGCTTCAGGCACCATGCCTGGGTTTTAAACTAGTTTATAGTAAGCTTTCAAAGCAAACAAAAACCCAACCTGAAATAAAATCATTTAAACCCCCAAACAAACTTTAAAAAACCCCAAACAAATAAACATAAATAGCCCAAACCAACCTAAAACAAATATCCCATGGTATTTGCAGAAAGAGAAATTACAGCCTTTACTTGCAGGATTCAAATCGCACCAGAAACCTGGGAGAGAGAGGCACTCAAATTCCATTCCTTTTTAACATGAGCTGGTCACCAAGCTTGCTTCTGCCCCTCTGAAAATCCTGCCCTACCTCAGGTCACAGGCATGCTTAAACCTCTTCCTCGGGGATGGCAGCTCCTTGCCCCCTGCACTAATTCACCAGCAGGACAGGCTGGATGTGTATCCCTCCATCCCGAGACGGGACAGCGAGCAACCCACCGATGGTGTAACTCGGTCTCTTTCATTCTGCCTGCACAGAAAAGCTGATTTTATGTGCGTTTCTAGAGCTCAGGGTACTCCTCTTCCTTACCATTTCCCAATACCGCCCTGGATCTCATCAGCTCGCATTTACCTATGTTTTTTAAGTCAGGCCAAGAGGCAAAATGTACATCAAGAAGCCCTGGTATCAAAGTGTTTGATGCTGTAACCCACCCTAGCTACTGCTCCAAGAGGCACCTGCGTACCTATTTAATAAACTGAGAGGTGCTTGCATGACTCACCCCCCTTGGACCACTTTGATCCTACAGCACCAGCTACTGCCACGCTGCCTGAGGCTGCCTTCTCCTTCCCCGCATCCACGTGCTCCATGCTCCTTGGGCAGGTGAAAAGCAAACGCAGAGTTCAAGGGCCCCGATTCAGCGGGCCCTTGCCTCCTGCGGGCAAGCAGAGACCTGCCAAGGGCAATTTCCTTTGTGAGAGCATCTCTCCGACAGGAACAGACTTTTTTCTTTCTCTTTTTGAAGTGCAAACTTGGAAAGCTAGGAAGGACACCTGAACTCATTGGGATGAAGGCACAAAAAGCCACTACCATGCCCGCAGGAGGCAAGGGAACAGCATGGAAGTCACCTCTGCACCACTGCCCAGTGGCTCTGAGCACGCAGGGACTCATAAACCTACTTCTTCCTCTATCGCTTAAGTTCCTTGGATGCTCTACCTGCTCCTGCCCCAGCAGTTCAGCTCCTCTTCGGTCCTTTTTAACTACTTTTACCCTGCAAAAATCACAGTTGGAGGATAACAGACCCCGCTCAGCAAAGCCCGCTGGTCTGTGCTACACTCAGTGGGACTAGCTGGGGGCGTGCAAATCGTGGCCCTAAGTACCTAAAACATAACCCAAACAGGAAGCTTTCAGGGTCCAGCTGACAGGATAGCTCACAGATGGCAGGAAAAGGGCAAAATTAGCGATGCTGATTCCATCGACTCCACCTTGGACTCCCAAAACCCCAATTTGCTTGTTATACCACCCTCCCCCTACACCAAGGGGATAAGCTCTACATTTTTGCGGCAGGTTTGGAGAAGCAGTTTCCACCGCAGCGTTTTGAGGCTTCCCTGAAGAACCACCACCTCCAGGAGGCTTGGAAAGGTAGGGCTCTCTCCCTGCTTGTTCACGTGCTAAGAGATGATACGAAGCGGACTCTGTGCATGGCTACCGCCGACAAGCGCTGCCCATCGCCTCCTCCTCGCGCGTGCCCCACACCGGTACCCACGCGCGCACCGATGCGGAAGTCAGCAAGAGATGGAGCGCCCCTTCGTTACCAAAACGCTTGCTAGGCATATTGCCAGCTTTTGAAGGAAAAGGCTTGGAATAGCCTGTTCTCGTGTAACCAGGGGTATGGGGGGTAAAGCCAGTGACGTTACGAGTGTGTCAAGACTAGTTCAGACTCCAGCCCAGAGCCTGTAAAAGCACATTATAGTTAGGATCATAATGTCTAGTCACAGTACAGGAACAGCTAGAAAGGATTAAAAACAACCCTATAAGCACGTGCTTACTTGTACAGGCCATTGTAGGTGGGTCTGATTCCTTCCTAAAATAGTGTTCTTCACACAGGCAAGATGTGGATGCTTCATCAAGCGTGTAGCTGTGAGGGGGACATTTGCTGCAGGATGGACTGTGGGGTGAAGCTTTGAAGAACCCAGGTCTGCATACTGTGAAAAGAAGAACCACAGGCTAAGCTCTCCCATCATAAAATTAGTCTCTTCACATTTCCCTTTTTTTTTTAAATAAAAAAAACACACACACCTTCAGCTAGAAAACAGACAAACAGTCGTGAGCTATTTGGTTTGCATATTTAAAACCAGTCTGTGCCACCAGCAGACAGTGCATACTTAAATATCTGCATGAAAAGAGAGTAAGAAGCTCTTGATTATTTTTTTCCCCCTAGCATCTGCCTTTGCTGGGTATTTATTTTCCTGGTTGAATGCATTAGAGGTAGTATCTTTTGGGCTCTGCTTTAGAAAACATTATTGTTGTTTGGGTTTTTTCTTTTTCTTCATTCAGTCTTAGAAAAACAGGTAAAATACATCTCATGGTTTTCGTTTAATGTTCTACACCCAGAAATCAATGTCTCGGCAAACAAATAGCAACACAGTGGTGGAGGAGATCTCAAGATCGACAGCTTTAAGACATTGTGATAAGGCTACTTCCCTAGGGTCTTCTCCCCTGCGAACCCGTGATGAATTTTAAAGTGCCCCACGTAAGCCAGACTGCTCTGGGTACAGCCTGAACCAGGCACGCTCGCCATACCAGGTATCTCTTCCAGCTCCAATATATATGCATGACGAGGCACAAAGACTCGATACAAGAGCTATTTTTGTTCTCACAAATACATATTATATGGGTAAGGGTAGCTTGGGAATTTTTTCCTTTTTTTTTTTTTTTTAATAATTTGATGTGAATACAGTAACATCTTGTTTCCAGTCTCCTGAAACAAGCGCTCTTTGACCTAAGCAAAGCACTCTGCACTTCACCTGCGTGCACACACTCAGCCAGAAGCGGTGACAGCCACAGGTTTGCACGTACCTACCCCGCTTTTTGAAAGAGCCAGCCCCATAAAAGCACCGTTACATGCAGAATTACAAACCCACTGTTAGCAGAAGGAGGAAAACTTGATTTTCTGTTTGTCTCAAAAAGCAGAGACACAGAGACATGTTAAAACAATTCCAAAGTGTTGCTATTTTTCTTCCTTGAGAGATGCTCTAACATAATTCTGCCCAGTACGCTGTAAGCTATGCACAGGTCTGCTGTCAGACTTACAGACTGCATTCAAACTTCCCCAGTTGTAATTAGCTTGAAGAGGAAATGAGCTCACAGCAAAAGCACTAATATTATCCCACCAGGAATGTCGCAGACAATCACAGCACAAAGGTCATATGCTAAAATTCAGCCAGTGATGACAGAAGTCATCTTCACCCTAGATAAAGTACAGGTGATCCCTTTTTCTCTGATGGATCAACTAGGACAACTGCCTCCAGAGCTGGCTCTGCTTCCTGCAGTACCAGAGAAACTTTCTCTACATCTTCCCTTTTATGCCACTGGCTTCATCACCAAAGGTGAGACGCTTCAGCTCCTAACTCCCAGAGCCAACCTGTCAGTCTTGGCTGGTGAGGATCATAGAATCATAGAATGGTTAGGGTTGGAAGGGACCTTAAAGATCATCCAACCAAGTTCCAACCAAAGTTCCAACCCCCCTGCCATGGGCAGGGACACCTTGCACTAGACAAGGTTGCTCAAAGCCTCATCCAGCCTGGCCTTGAAGACATCCAGGGATGGGGCATCCACAACATCTCTGAGCAACCTGTTCCAGTGCCTCACCACCCTCCCTGTGAAGAATTTCTTCCTGATATCTAATCTAAACCTCCCTGTTTTCAATTTGTACCCGTTACCCCTTGTCCTGTCACTACAGGCTCTTGTAAAAAGTCCTCTCCCAGCACCCTTGTAGGCCCCCTTCAGATACTGGAAAGCTGCAATGAGGTCTCCTCGGAGCCTCCTCACACACTAAAAGGGATGCGATCCAAGAGCATCCAATGGACCACCCCAGACTCCAACACCAAACTTACCCAGACCACAAAGTTCTCACAACAAACGCCGTGCAACCCTGGTGGTTCCCAAGGCCACCACATGCTGCCAGGTCTCCATCTCCAGCACCCCTCCTGGCCTCCCCACACCAGACACCCTCCTACACTTTCCCCCAGCTCCCTTTTCTTCCCACAAGACAGGCAGAGAACATCTAGTAGGACTGGAGGTATTCACAGATTTTAAAAACCCTATTTCCAAAATTGCTCATCATCCAACTAGTGCTCCACAGCCAGGCTGTGAGCTCTGCAGGATGCAGGTCATCTGCTTTGTGTCCATACACCAGGACCTGTGAACAGACCGAGGGTGGAATTTATTCTTCATGGGTGCAAAAGCACTTGCCACAAGCTGTCCTGCTTTATGGCAAATCCCTCCGTCTCTAACACAGAGTTAAGTTCTTTTATTTACATCACAGCCACCTTCAAATGCTGCCCTACCCATGGCAAGGACTTGTTATGCAATTTCCAAGGGGTCTTCTAGGAGAGAATACCACCAAACAGCTCCTCTCTAGCCTGCAACTTGTATTTCAAAGCCAAATCAAACTCGCTTGCACACGCAGACAATAGAGATGGGGAAATGAAAGCACAAAAATGCACAACATATAACAAGGGCAGCCCACATCTAGTGTGTACTTGATGTAATTAGCCTTCAAAAAAGGACATGAATTTATCTCATTATGTCCCATCAAGACAGACAGAAAATCATTACAGCACAAGAGTTTCTATTTTGTGCAAAGCAGCAAATGCAAAATAAGTCAGTTTTCCTTGACAGATTTTCAACGAGGTGCAGCTTGCTAATGACGGTATGATACGTAGCTCAGCTCAAGGGGAATGTTTGGTTTTCATGAATAAGTACGAAGCCAACAGATGTATGCCAATAACCCATGTTTTAATGAGGGATATGAATCAAAACTGAACCGGACCAATTTTTGTATAATCTGCAGGCTCCCGTGGGTCAGGCAAGTCCCTTCTCTATACAAAAGGTATAAGGAGGAACATTCAAGAGGATTTAAATTACACTGAAGATTTCAACATGAGTCCTCATAGCAAATAGCCAGCAGAGCAGCGTGCTGTCCCATCTAAGTGAAATACTCTTGCGTCGGTTAGAGAGGAAGAATTCAGGGACAGGAGATGGCATATTCAAAAAAGGGGGGACAGAAAATAAAAATAAATGCAAGAGTCACCACAAGTGGTGGCGTGCCAAGGGGTAACAGGTTTAAATTCAAAGACGGTAGATTCAGATTGGATGTCAGCAAAAAATTCTTCCCGCAGAGGGTGGGGAGGCACTGGGACAGGTTGCCCAGAGAAGCTGTGGATGCCCCATCCCTGGGAGTGTCCAAGGCCAGGCTGGATGAGGCTTGGAACAACCTGGTCTAGTGGAAGGTGTCCCTGCCCATGGCAGGGGGATTGGAACTGGATGGTCTTTAAGGTCCCTTCCAACCCAAACCATTCTGGGATTCTGTGAGTCCACAGCCCTGCACCAGATGCTTTGGGGAGGACAGTGGGGGATTTGCAGGGCTCACCCACCACAACCTCCCAGCGACCGGTGGTTGGAGACCACCCCTGATGGAAACCAAACTGCACTATCATGCTCAGGAGCAGCAGCAGCCATAGCTGTGCGGGTGTTTCAGGGACAGCTAGTATCTACTACAAGACTTTACTCTGTACCCGTTCCTACGTTTGCTTTGTCTACCACACAAAGGAGAGGAGAGCCAGTGAGGTGGTTCAAGCAGCAATCCACTGATAAACAGCGATGCTGTGAGATGAAAGCTGACCCAGGAACACCTTATGTCTCCGCACTGCAGAGCGGGCATCGCGGTAGCCGGTCTTGGCTGAGCTCAACAGCCAAAAGCAGGGGCTGGTACTGTATCATTTTTCTCCTGCTAGTGACAAGGTCTCACATATTTTGGAAACAGGATTCAGAGCAGAAGAGGGCCACCAACAGCCTGCATCTTACCCTGCACGTACCTTGGTCTTTATCTTACCATTCCTCTCTGACAGTCAACCTTACAATCTCTTCATGAAGTATACATGACTTTATTTAAAACTACACGGGTGCCTGGGGTTTAATTTCTAATTAAATCTTATTTTAGTCTTCTTACATTTTTATCTCAGTATTTCTATTTCAACAGCACTTGAAAGGATATGTAGAACCAGCACAGTACAGTCACGCACGTAATGGTACTATCTCTCTTTTCGAGGGAGTGAGAAAAAGAAGAGAAATAAGATGAGCCTAAGACTCCCCATAATCTGCTGCAAGTCAGCTGAAAAGAAATGAAATAAAGTTTTAAGCTGTTGATGAGATCTGCTTCTTTCTTCCTAATATTAAAACTGATAGCTTCTTAACTGATTAACAGCCAACTGATGTATGAAAACAGTCTTTAAATTAAACTGGTTGTTAGAAAAAAATAAAAAGAGTATTTTTAGACACAGCAAATATACCATAAACAACCTGCTGGTGTTAGGTACAAGTAGGATGTGTTTCTATTAGTAGCACAGCCATTATTAGCAAATTAATTTCACTCTTCTCATTTTTAGTAACAACCACAAAACGTTGAGCATTAACTGTGCACCCTCTTGCTCACGCACTTCAGGGCAGACAGAAGGATGGCAGCGAGGCTCTCGGGGCAGCAATGGTGTGAGCTGATCCCTTAAACTGGCAGCAATCAGATTAGAAACTGGCTTTGTACCCTACAGACAGGAGCCCACAAGAGCCATGCTGATAGAAAGTGCCTCTTCGAATGTGGATGGATGGAGGAGGAGAAGTCACTGGTCCTCTCACAGCGAAAATTGGCCCCTCGAAATGATGTGCTGAATTTTATGTGCTCTGTCAGTACTGTAGACAGTCAGTACCAGTGAGGGGTGGGGGGAAAAGCAGGCAGAACAAGCCACTAACACCAAACAGCTGGGACTACTTGACAGATTATTTTCTGCAAGCCTTAACATCAAACGGTTCACAGCTGCATCCCTGTAGCCATCCCTGAGCTTCAGCCCAAAGCTGCATCCAACGGGCAGGGCTCCTCCCCAGCTGCCCCACGCCTTCGATGCACACCAATCCCAGGCAACCAGTGCTG